TTAGAGTGTGGACTTGCCCTCATTGCTGTGTAGTTGTGGCTCTGAATCATCAAACTGCTAGCCACAGGTAGGCACGTGTGCCAACTCAAGAGCTGAATGAACCACATGATGTAGGGCTCAGGCCAATGGCATTTGTCTCTCCCGATCTTACTGCGTTGATCTGCCTCTGCTATCCGGGGAAGAGCTGCGGTGCATGGATTTTGGCCTTTGTAGAAACAAATAACTGGGGAGGTTTCATTCACCTATCTATCTGTCACCATGCCGAGCTCAGCTCCATGGAAAAGTTCTCTTTTTATTGAGCCTAGCATGGTAGAGAAATTGGGTGGCTCAGGATGACGATGCTGAGAACAGATGACATGACTACCTTTTCCCTTTGGCGTGGCAAACATCAATAATCTTGATTTTTTTTTTGCTTCCAAATCTGGATAGAATTTCAAAATGATTGGTATTAGAACTCCACTGTTTGCCATCTCCTGCCATAAGGAGCAATCCATTTCACCCACTGCAGTGCATCTGGGACACTGGGCAGCCTGGGGCCAGGTGTGGGGCAAGGGCAGGGTTTTCTCAGCACCTGCTTATGTCCAGTTGTCAAAATCAGGCTGGTCACCATAATCTGCATCACCCTGTGTGCCCAGGAGTGCTGTCCTGTCTCTCTAGGCCTGTGGACAAAAGAAAAGGTCCCTGTCCCACGGGAGTGACAGGCAGTAATTAGGCTGACCTGGGTGAAGGTTCCCGGAAACCACTGTTCTCCTCGGAGCAGCCGCCACAGGCAGTTGGAGTGTTTATTTGATTTCTGACTTGCTAAGCCTGTAATTTACCTGCTGGAGCAGACAGAGTCCAGCTGCCCGAGCCCTGAAATACTGTCATTAAAAGCAGATCCTGGGCCCGCCCAACCCACAGGCACAGCCCAGCCGAGGCAGAACCACCCCTGTGCCCAAAGACGCGCATCTCTGCCATCACTCTGCACCCTGAGGAGGGGCCCCAGACATCAGGCCTGGCAGCAGGTGTGGAGGCCAGGGGCCCTGCTGCAGGACAGCAGCCCCTCCACGGGGACCTGGAAGGGACTGTGGAGCAAATACAGAGAAAGAGACCCTGGGATAGAGAGCAGGTCCAGACTGTCTGCAAGGTGGAAAGTTCCCCCATCAGTTAAGGATCTAAACTCTGGCCTAGATGTTAAGAGAGCTGACCGGGTAGATGGTTTCCTCCTCTGGGTCTCATTTTCCCATGTGTACATGAAGGCATTCGGCTTTCTGGTCTCCAAAGGGCCTTCGGCTGGAAATCTTGTCTGCTAACCCTTTCTCACGCTGAGCCCAGATGCTGCCTCACAACCTTGAACTGGGGGCTCAGGTGGTGGTCACAGATCAGAGCTGGTATATAATATAGAACTGTTTGCCATTCTAGTCCTAATCTAACACTTCCATCTTCCTAACATCAAAGATGACCTTTTAGGCAAATGTAAGTTTAAAATTAGCCAATTATTTTGACAATTCTTTACTTCACTCTCGCATCTTTTGTGCCCAGCCAATAGCCCAACACAATTAGGGGTACACCAGGAATGTCTGTCAAATCACCCAAAGATTTATAGACAGGGATATATATACCTCACCTGTCCGGCTGGGCACAGCAGGAATGACTGGAGGTTGTAATCTTCCTTTTTCATGCACAACTGAAAAACAGGAAGCCTCTGCCTGCCTTCCTGGGTCAGACTTCCAGCAACTTCTGCCATTCAGGCAAATGAGATCAAATGGAGAAAGCCCTGAGCAGTGAAACCATTGTGAATGGACACAAAGCTCCTGCATTTTATGCCCTGTTTATTGCATGATACTGCATGCATTTATCGCATGTGTTAGATTTCCAGTTATCCGTTTGCTGAGCCAAGCACGGCAGCTGCAGGGGGTGGCCCAGGCTGGCAGATACACAGCACAGATGCCACCATTTCCCTTTCTCTTGCTCAGGGCATGGCTGGTTTAGCTGGTTGCACGGGACCCGAAGGATACATATGGGTGGTTGGTCAGGCCTACTGACAACGAGGAATCAAGGACTGTTGCCAGAAGGGAGGGCATGTGGGAAAAGGCTGAGGACACATGCAGAGCAGTCTTGGCTTTGGCAGTGCAATGCTGGCCTGGAGGCCAAGTTATTACAACATCTGTGTTCATGGTTTTCTCAGGTGGGGAGGTAACCTGTCCTGGAAAATTCCCAAAGGAACAGAGGCAGCATAGCAAGAGTACAGCATTTTGGAGCCAAATGGATGTGAATCTTGCGTCCTTTTCTATGGTAGGGTAGGATATTGGCTCTTTCCTTCCAAGGCTATTGGAAAGATCAGATATGTACATACACATTTAGGACAATGTCTGCCATAAAAACACTTAGCAACTGGTACTTGTTGACCTTACAAAAGGATCTGCTGAGCCCTTTCTGTGCTTGTCCAGAATGTGTTCTGCAGGTGATGGTGTACTTATTTCAGAGCTGTGCTTTCTCCTGAAAATCTACACCCTGCAGTCTCTGGAGGGAGGACTTTGTGTTCCCACTTGCTTTCAAGGCCTGAGGAAAGTGCCTGGTTACGGCCAAGGCTGTGAACCTTTTTCCCATGTTCCCAGGGGCAAGGGGATCCCACCAGCCTGCTTAAAGGTACAAAGCACTCAACCCACCTTTTAAAAAACAGGTTTTTCATTTATTACAAAAGTAATGCAGTTTTGGAGGACAAATTGGAAAAAAAAAATCTGAAATTGTCACAGTTGTATGATTCATAAACAGTATTTTAGTGAATTTGTTTCTAGGCTTTTTCCTTAGGATACACATGTTTAGATGTTTATATGTTACAGATAGGTATTTTTACAAAATTGGGATCACACCATATCATATAAATTGCTTTGAAATCTGCTTTTCCCACTTTATTATGTAGTAGAAATTTTCCTGTTAATATTTTTTGAAAACATGGCTTTCTTGGTTTTTAACACCCGCAGCCTACGAGACTGTGTTCACAACTAAAAAGTAGGTCCCAAATCCCTTCCTGGAGTGCTGCTGCAGGCTTTTGGGACTGTGACATCACGGCCAGCCACATCCGAGGGCTGAGGTGCTGTCAAAGAGGAAACTCCAGCAGCCACAGGACCAACCCTGGGGCCACAACCTGAAGGAGTCCGTGCACTGGCAAAACCCAGCCCTGTTTGAGGTGCTGGGGCTGAGGCAATGCACATGCAGACCAGGAAGCTACCTCAGACACCCTTGGGTACACTTCCGAAGGACCAGAGCCTTCCCAAGTAACAGGTTTGGTAGTATGCTGTGAGGAGCTGATCAGGTAGCCAGGCCACTGCTCCCCAGGCTCTGGGGCACCTCCTGTCTGGCAGGGAAGAACCCTGTTTCCTTAGGTCTCCCCAAAGGGTCCAGGCCAACTATAGGGACTATGTGTCTCCCTGAGGGCCTTGGGCCCCCTGCCATAGGCCGAGGCTAGAGCCCAATAAACCTCCCAGGACCCCACTTAACTAGGGGGAGGCAGGCTGAGCTTCCTATCCTGCTCTACCATGTTCTGGAACTTTGTAGCCATGTCACCCAGGCCTTGGTTTACCTCTGTATAGGGTTCTGCTGTGGATACAGGGATAACACCTGCAAATGGTCCGTAGCACACTGGGAGGGGCACTGGCACCCAGTGGGTGCTACCAAGGAACAAGAGAAAGCAACAAGGTCATCATAGGAGTCAGTCCCCTCTTGGGAGGTGGCTGTGCTATACCCTTTTATACACATCCTTTCCTGGTGGCTGACCTGTGATGGCCATAGTTTGCCCTCAGAGTGGGGGCCTGTGCTTCGAGGGAAGGTCTCTTTTGGGAGCTCTGTAGGGTCAAGGGTAACCATGTGGTACATCCTAACCACAAGGAAGACAGAAACCCCAAGTAGGAGCTCAGCCAACATCCCTCACAGGAGCTATCCTGGGGTCACCAGGGCCAGGAGGCACCAGGCTCGTCCAGATCTTAACATCAAAAAGCCCAGCCCCATGGATTCTGAATGGTCCTAGCAACCCAACCAGAGAGGTGCCTAGTGGCCACAGAGCTCGTTTCTGCTCAGGCCTTCAGCAGGTGAGGGATGCTTGAAAGCCACCTGGCTGAGCACAGAGAGAGAAGCTTGAGCTCCAAGCAGTGGCTGCATTAGGAGGACCAGACTGTGAGCTCAGCATGGGGTGGGACAATTTGTTTAAGCCATCAGCAAACTTTCTGCAAAGGTTCATGTCATAAATATTTTAGGCTTTGAGGCTGTGTTGGTTAGTTTTGTGTGTCAACCTGGCTGGGCCACCACGGCCAGTTTTTGGTCAAACACCAGTCCAGATGCTGCTGTGAAGGTACTTTTCAGATGTGATTAACATTTAAAACAACAGGCTGGAAGTAGAGCACATTACTCTCCAAAATGTGGGTGGGCCTCATCCAATCAGTCGAAGGCCTTTAAGAGAGAAAAGACTGAGCTTGCCAGAGGGAGGAAGAATTCTGCCTCTAGACAGCCCTTCAGACTTGACCTGCAACATCAACTCTTCCCTGGGTCCCAGCCTGCTTGCCTGCCTGGCAGAGTTCTGACTTGCAAGCTCCACGATCACGGAGCCAAGTCCTTAAAATAAATCTCTCTCTATATATATACACATGTCCACACACATCCTATTGGTTGTTTCTCTGGAGAGCTTTAACATGGGGACCATATAGTATCTGTCACCAACTACTCCGCTCTGTCACTGTGATAAGGAAGCAGCCATAGAGAATATGTAAACAAATGGATGTGGCTGTGTTCCAATAACTTTATTCACAAAAAAGGCAGCAGGTTGGTTAGACCCAGGTAGCTGGGTGACATCTTGTCTCCGGACAAATAAGCATAGTACGTGGCACAGAGAAGGCATTTTGAGTTATAAAATATTGTGTGAAAAATTCTGTAGAATGGGAGCACCTGGCTGGCTCAGTCAGTACAGCATGTGGCTCCTGACCTCTGGGTTGTGAGTTCAAGCCCTACGCTGGGCACAGAGCTTACTTAATATCTGTAGAGTGAATATGAAGAAATAAACACATGAATCGCTGAGAGTTGTAACTACGCTTGCTGCCTACAAGACTAGCCAGCATGAGTTTAGGAGCACAGGCAGCAGAAGACAAATTTCTCCACTATCTTTGATTTCCACCGTCCTGACAATGATCCGACAAGGGAACCTGGCTTGAAGATCTATTACTTGGCATCTCAGGGAACTATCCAAGGGAGTAGAGAAAAGCTATGCCCCATCCCTTTGCCAGCCTAATTCAGCAGGACAGCTTAGCCACAGACATAATCTCTGACAACTGCTAGGAACTAGCTGGACTCGGCAGTACAGGAACTAGGATTTATTTTACTAGAAGAAACGTCCAGGAGCCACACTGGCGGGCCAAGGAGAAGCCGTGGCAGCAAAGGCCGGAAAAGACCACGCACAGCCTGTCCACAGTGGGGAAGGCGGCCCCTGTGCCAGCTCCCAGGCCCACGGCCACGCCTGGGAAAGAGCCAGAGGGAGCCCAGGCCGTACCTGCAGAAGAGTTGCTCCGAGCTGAGTCCAAGAAGGGCCACGACACAAACCCCTGCTTGCCACAAAGGGGACAGACACCCTCAGGTGCTGGTTCCCAGGCTGACAGCTCCTGGATATGCAGGGGCAGTGCCGAGACTTTGCGGACTCACACGTACTCCCCACAGTCGGCAATGATTACCTTCTGCTTTGGCTTCCCATCCTTGCTGCCCTGGGCCTTTGTGGGGACAGAAAAGGGGGAGAAACACGGGAGGGTGGAGAGTAAGGACTGGCTTAGGGATACCCTCCCCATCTACCCACCCCTGCCTGAGCAGAAGCAGCCCTCCTTGGGAGCAGCCGTGGCCCCTCTCCAGCTCTCCCGCAGGGCTATGCACCCAGGGCCCGGGGAAGCCACCCACCTCAATCTGCCGCAAGACATCCAGGCCTTCTGTGACCTCCCCGAACACCACGTGCTTGCCATCCAGCCAATCCGTCTTGTCACACGTCAGGAAGAACTGGGAGCCGTTGGTGTTTGGGCCGGAGTTGGCCATGGAGAGCAGGCCTGGGGGAGACAGAACAAGCACGTGAGCTCCTTCTTCCCTGGCTCCTGGCAAGATGGATGCTCTTGGCATCGTGGGAAGGGTGGTTTCAGTAAAGGTGGGGCTAGAAGTCTGGCTGAAGGGGCATAGAACAAAAGGCAGGGAGTCTACACAACTTTTTCAAGAAGTTTTACTCAAGGGGATTGAGAAGCATGGAAGACAGCTAACAGGGACACAAGTCAAAGGAGTTTTTTAAAACACAGATACCATATGCTTTTACACAGACGGGCTGATCCAGCGGGGCAGAGGGTGTGGGTTACACAAGGCAGCAGAGGGACAACCACAGGAGCCAGGTTCCCAGGTAGGGGAGCAAGGATGGGGTCTGGACCACAGCTCGTGCCCTGCCCTGAGGGAAGGCAGAGCGGGCCCGTGTCAGGAGACGCAGGAGGTCATGCTTGGAGGGTGACATGGAGGTTTCGGGAGCGAAGGGAGGAACCGTCATCTCTGACTGGGACTGAGCATTAGTAACTAGGGGACTCTAGTAACGCTGCCAGGGGCCCCTGAAGAAGTGTGGTCGTAAGTTTCAAGATGACCATTCAGTATAGTAGTTTTTCTCCAGTTGCTGGAGGACCAACCACTAAGAGAGAGAGGAACACCTAACAGAGACAGGGCAGCCAGGCTCAGGGACTAAGAGAGCTCACATGGCGGGCCCCAGGGAGGATGGGCAGTGTGTGAATGGAAGCCGCTTCCCCGACACCAGCCAGGCCACATGCAGGTGCTGGATCATCGACCAGTTCGCCTACAGACCTGAGCCCTCCGCCCGAACCACAGCCCGCTGTTCCATCCACAAAGCCACTGGCCTGGCCCCACACGCCACCACGCCCCGATCGAGTCCCACCTGGTCCCGTGTGTTTGAGGATAAAGTTCTCATCATCGAATTTCTTCCCGTAGATGGACTTGCCCCCAGTGCCATTGTGGTTCGTGAAATCGCCGCCCTGGCACATGAACTGGGGGATGATACGGTGAAAGCTACTTCCCTTAAAGCCGAAGCCCTTCTCATGGGTGCACAGGCATCGGAAATTCTCTGGTGGGGAGAAAGGAAAAGATGCTGAGGTTAAAAACTAGAGCAGTTCCTCAGGCTTTGGGCACACCTCGCCTTGCATTCCACGTGAGATGCAGAAGTGAGTGACCGAAGCCAAGAATGAAATGCAGGTGGCCATAGAGCCCTATAGACAGTCCCAGCTGAGCTGCTTTGACCACATGAAGATGTGCTCTGTGATGGGCTGTGCAGTGGGCATGGTGGCCGGGGAGCTCCGCGCCACCTTCTCCTGTCTCAGGATTGGAATGCGGGGTCAGGAGTTGGTGGGCGGCATTGGGAAAACCATGATGCTGAGCATGGGGCCTGCTTAAGATTCTCTCTCTTCTCTCTGTCTGCCCCTCTCCCCTGCTTGCACGTTCTCTCTCTCAAAAAAAAAAAAAAAAAGAAAAGAAAAGAAAAGAAAAGAAAAATAAACAAAACAGATGAACACAGGGGAAGGGGAAAAAAAAGAGTGAGGAAAACCCTAAGCGATGAATCCCTAAGTTCTCCTGAAACTAATATTATATGTTAATTAACTAGAATTTAAATAAAAATTTGAAACATTCAAAAAAAGAAAAAAAAAAAGGAAAGCTGGATCTTAAGTCAGAAGAGCCAAGAAGCAACTCGCTTTATGTTGCAGAAATGCCAAAAGCTCAGGTACAGGGTAAAGGTGGTTCTGAAAACAGGAAAGCTGGCTGAAAGCCTGTTAAGAAAGTAGCTAACCACTTCCTCCCCAGTAGCTGGCTGGAGGTCTACTCTCTCTGGTAGGTTAAGGCAGAGGGTCTCTGGACTGGCTATACTACATGTAGCCGAGGGCAGAGGTACTGTAATGACAAATGGAGATTAAGTGAAAGTTTACATACTGCCCCCGTCTCTCCCGACCAAGATGGCAAACAGCTAGCTGGATGTAAGAGCCTCTAGCAAGAGACTAGACTCTTCTCAGAGGACTCTGTGCTGTCAAAGAGAACAGAAGTCAGGGAACGAACATCCGGGGTCTGACAGAGAAAGACCCCAACCGACTCATCCCACAGGCGAAAAGCCTCAGCCAGCAAGCCTTACTGATGCCTAGGAAGTTTCCGGGCAGATTGTTAGGGCCCCATTCTTAAAGACGAGGAAGGCATCTAACGTGAAAAGCAAAGACCAAAACAAACAGACCAAAAAGAAAGCAACACATAACAACTCAGGAAAAAGGGACTTGAAACATAAGCCACAGGAAGACAAAACTTTAGTAATATCCCCAGAAAGATAAATTATCACCTCTGTGAAATAAGCACAGAACGCCATTAAAAAAAAAAAAAAAAAAAAAAAAAAAAAAAAAAAAGACACTTAGGAAGGTTCCTAAAGGAGAGAAGAGAGAAATCAGAGGGGACAAAATTGAAGAAGTAATTGAAAGAAATTTCCCCAACCAGAGGATAAAACACAGTCCTGTGGGTGTGGTACACAGGAGAAACATCTCTCTAAAGACATCCATACCAGTCCCTGGAACCTGAGAACATGATATAGCAACAGAGCCTTTGCAGATGTGATTAGGGTTATGGATGGACCTCGAGTGGGGAAAGCAGCCCCAATTATCCAGAGGGGCCTAACAGAATCATGAACTTGTAACAGGGGAACTTTTCCTGGCTAAGAGATTCAAAATGTGAGAGGGACTGGATCACCACTGTTGGCTCTGAAGATGGAGGAAGGGAAGTGGGAATAGCTTTCAGTTGACAGCAGCAAGGATGGGATACCTCAGTCCTACACATGCAGGAAACTGAATTCTGCTGACCTGAATGCCCCTGGAAACATACTCCTGTAGGGCTTCCAGTAAGGGAGTGACCTGGCCTCCAGATGGGAGATAATAAATTTGTGTTGCTGAAAGCCACTAAGTTTGTGGTAATCAGTGACAAAAGCAATAGAAAACTAATATCGTAGGTCCCCCACTGAATATCTAGCATGATGGATGTAAGATCTATCCAAAGGCACATGGTTTCAGAACAGCACAGACACCCTAAGGGCCTCTAGGCCAGGGCTATCTAACAGCTCTTAAGCACTTGGCTAGTGTAGGGGCACTCGGGTGGCTCAGTCTGTTAAGCATCTGACTTTGGCTCAGGTCATGATCTCTCGTTTTGTGAGTTCGAGCCCCGTGTTGGGCTCTGTGCTGACAGCTCAGAACCTGGAGCCTGCTTTGGATTCTGTGTCTCCGCTCTCTCTGCTCCTCCCTCGCTCACACTCTGTCTCTCTTTCTCAAAAACAAGTAAACATTAAAAAAACAAAGCACTTGGAGGGCACCTGGGTGGCTCAGTTGGTTAAGCGTCCGACTTCAGCTCAGATCTCACGGTTTGTGGGTTCAAGCCCCGCGTCAGGCTCTGTGCTGACAGCCTGGAGCCTGCTTCTGATTCTGTGTCTCCCTCTCTCTCTGCCCACCTCCTCAGCTGACACTGTCTCCCTCTCTCTCAGAAATAAACAAATATTAGAAAAATATTAACAAATATTTAAAAAAATTAACAAATATTAAAACAAATATTAAAAAAAAGAAAGAAAAAAGAAAAGCACTTGACTAGTGTAACTGAGGAAATTAATTTTAATCTTATTTAATTTAAACAGTGACATGTGCCTAGTGGCTACTGTATTGGAAAGCTCAGCACTAGAGAGAAAGAAAGGGCTTTATATAAAGGACCAAGAATCAGAATGACCTTAGACTCCTCTAGAATTCTGTACCCTATCAGTCAAGTGAGAAGGTACTTATGTTTAGATTTCAGTCTCAAAAAACTTACCTCCCAAGCTCTTTCCTGCAGATGCTACAGAAGCATGTCTTCTACTAAAATGAGGGAATACACCAAAAAAGAAGACAGCAGAGAACACAGGAGACCCCGTGACACTAGCTGTGCAGCAGGCTGGGAAAGCAATGGTCCAGGCTAAAGAGAGTTAGAAGGCTCTAAGGAGGACTTCTACAGGAGAGGAAACCGACAGAATATCTGGTGTGTGTGAACATGAGGAGATATTTACGCAGGCAGCAGAATTTGGGAGAGCATCAGGAATAAATGTATAGACTGAGCTTGCGTGAAAACAAGACAATTACAGATCCCAGGAAAACAAAATGCTGTGTGTGAATGGCAATTACTATAGTATGATGTTAAATAGTTAAAATAACCTCCAACTTAACCAAGCTTATGGCAACTAGATATGTCAGGAAGATAACGGGGCAGGGAAAGGGATTTAAAAAGCTGATTCCTTATCTCCTGAAGTGGAAGAGCCAACAGATGTCTAAAATGAAAAAACAAGGAGCAGCAATACAAATCTCTCATCTACTGGGGCACCTGGGTAGCTCAGCCGGGTAAGCGTCCGACTTCGGCTCAGGTCATGATCTCCAGTCCGTGAGTTCAAGCCCCGCATCGGGCTCTGTGCGGACATCTCAGAGCCTGGAGCCTGCTTCAGATTCTGTGTCTCCCTCTCCTCTCTCTGCCCCTCCCCTGCTCACGCTCTGTCTTTCTCTGTCTCAAAAATAAATAAAGACATTAAAAAA